CTACTTCCCGCATCTGGAACTTTTTGTTATACAATTATATTTGCTACTTCAAAATTAATTATACTTTCATCATTGTTAGTGATTTTTCATCATTTTAGAAGTTTAAAAATCATTTTTCTACATTGAATCTATGAATAATTTCTATACTAACGTAGTTTTCCTTTATTTTTTTATAACTGTCGTTGAACAACCAGCCCAATTTCTGGAATTACGTTTGCCAATGTTCAACTTCGTACCCTTGTAATTTTGAACCCAAACTAAAAGACAAGGGAACTCCTGGATCAAGTAATGGGAGAAATTTGTCTTCGTGGAGGACTTTTTGATGGAACTAACCCGCGTTTACCTTACAGGGCGAGGAAAACCACGAAGATCTCCCTGGTTAGCTCGGCGGCAAGGGGATTCTAACCCATGATCAGCGCTGAGAATATTTTACGTTAGCACTGCGGTCTGTGCGAGCCGGGTTTAAAATTCGCATCGACCAGCCATCGCTGGGAATCGAACCCGGGTTATCTCATTGGAAGGTAAACACTCTATCCCCGGAATCACCACGGCTCTTAAGAGCCATTTTAAAATATTTATTCATTTACCTAAAAGGGCTATTACAGACTGACGCTCATGGAAATAAGAGTGAAAGTTTCCAATATTTTAACGGCTGCCATTTTGTTATTTCGAAGCGATGATTGATACTATCAATATTTTTTACTATATCCCAAAACATTGATAATTATAAAAGCAACAGGTGTTAAATTTTAAAGTGTTTACTTATGCAAAGTAATAGAATATAATTATTTGTAAAGACACATAAACGTTTATCAGTAGGCACCTTTTTTTTTAAATAAAAATTTTCCCAGATGAATAAAATTATGAATAAAAAATTAATGAATAAAAAATTAAAATAAGTAAACTAATAAAATAAATAAGCATTTAAAATACTAATTTTTTTAAAATTGAAATAGAATTTTTATTTAACTATAGCAGGGATGGGCAAACTACGGCCCGCGGGCCAACTGTGGCGCGCCGGAAGGTTTTATCCGGCCCGTCGATAGAATTTTAACTGATCCATGGCGAATATAAACAATATATATCCTTTTTCCTGTCTACTTTGCTTAAAGCTTTTTTTGTTCTTTCTTTTATAACAAAGTACTGATGACGTTTTTACTTTCTCTATTTTTGTTCCACAAGAACATAAATTGATGGAAATAGAACAGCTTCAGCTTCACAGACAGCTTCAATTGGTAAAATTTTGAAAGCAGGAGTTCTTTATTGAATAGCAGTAGATAGGCTCTATCTGAAGCAGTTGTTTCTAAATATGCAAAGTAAAAACTTCTAAAATTTAAAAAAAAAAAACTCTTAGTAAATTGTNAAAAAAAAAAAAAAAAAAAAAAAAAAAAAACGATACGCAAGTTTTAATTTAAATATTTATTTAAATTAAAACTCGCGTATCGTTTTTTTTAATTTTTTTTTTTTAATTTTTTTATTTTTATTTTAGAAGTTTTTACTTAGCCCCTACCAAACTTTTTTTTCCAATTTTTGGCCCTCGCCCGAAAAAGTTTGCCCATCCCTGATCTATAGTCTATCTATAAGCTTAGTTTTGATCGTTTAATTAGTAAAATGAGTGAGTTTTATAAAAAAAAAACTATTTTTGAAGGTTATTATGCATCTTTCATTGATATCTATGTTACTGTGAATTATCGAAATCGGTGGTTGGTGACTTCCACTAGAGAATGTAGAAATTCACATAGTCGTCTTGGTAAATGTCCGAAATATATACTAAGTCTAGTTAAGTGCCCCTGCCCAGAATCCATTTCCCCTGTACTCCCTACATCAATATTTTTTAAAGGTCAAGTGCCCCTGATCAGTATGCCTTTAACCGGTGCTCCGAACACTAATGTTTCTCCAAATCTATCCTCAGCTGATGTTAAAACAATGAATAAATATAATAATATCAACAAATAAATTAATATCAATAAAAATATATATTGATATAACAAATAATATACCAATTATTTCGGACATTCTACTACGTTATTCATGATCGGTGAAAGTCGACATTCTCTTGATTCACTGTAACATTCGCGTATCTTAACTCTAAAATTGGTTTAGATCAAAAATAGTTTTAGGAGACACCTGTAAAATTTCTTTACATAGCTCTGACACTATATTTTGGTCCTGCAGTGGACTGATCGTTAAGAAACGGTTCCCAGCAGATTACCGAAATCGAGCATCACTGGTTGCGGTCAGTGTGCGGGTGGGTGACAGCTTGGATCATCCTGGGTCGGGACCGAGGGTGTGCGGTATGGGTCCTCATTAAACTGTTCTACCGTAAAGTGCTCGATTTCGCGTGCAGGTCGTCGGTCTACCGAAGCGGGGGTGCCATCCCCTCTGCAGAGGATCAAAATTGTGATGGCATGTCTTCGGATCGTCCTCAGGGATGCTTCCCAGACCGTCGTCAGTAGCCCATTGTGCAGCTCTAGTGTGTCGTAAATGAGCTACAACAACAACAACCAACTGAAGAATCTGCAACATTATCTTTATTAAAGTCAAATTAGTCTGCGACCTCAGATAGAAATTATTATTTCTGCTTACAATAGCATATAAATATACATATAGCAAAATTTGCACTATTTGAAAAATACGTTCCATAAAAATTATCCCTTAAAATTATCCTAATTATCCATCCTCTATGTTGTTTAAATTTAATTGTATTTTATACAATAATACTAAAAATGGAATGTATCTCTATAGAGTTAAGCTTGGAATCAATTAATAGAAAAACAATTCTTTAATTATCATTCTTTGCAGGGTTTTCTCAAAGGGATACCTGCAAGTGACGTAGTTTGGGTATCTCGATCTTGATTGGTTGTTGAAGCGTGACATTTATTTACGCTGTTCATCAACTGTTATCAACTGTTCGTTCCATTCTATTTCGAGTCAGCCAAGCCCACTGAGTAACATTTCTCTTAAGTTACTCATTCTATATTCTTTCACAAAGATTCTTTCTCAAAGAATTCAATCCTTTGACTATGTATTTACAAGACAGGCACGAAGCCATATGGAAGATAAACAAACTAATTATGCATCAAAGTTTCCAGGTACACAAAACATAAATTTATCACAGTTACAGTAAAATACATAAGCAAATAATAAATCTAAGTAAAATAAAATAAGTAGACGAGACAGAATTAAATTTCAACTAATTCGATGTGTGATACAGCTCTATATTTAATTAACTTACAGTTAATTGACATTCTAACTTAATTAGAGAAACTTAGCTCAACTCTAAAACGTCATTCTGCTGATAAGGAATACGTCATAAGTCAGATGTGTGGGTATAGGAGGTCTTCTCCTTCTTAAAGTGTAAAACAAGAATGATGAAATGAGAGCCAGTAAATAAATTAGAAACACGAAATGAAGCAGTTACTGATGAAAAATTAAGGATAAAAATCACGAGGGGCAAGCAGTAGGGTGTTAATTTTTATAAATAATTAATAAGGTAATTATTGTAACTAATTATTTGCTAAATATACTTAATAATGTGACATTTGTAATTATGTATTATAAACATGTTTCAAGTAAATTTTTGACATTTAAATATTTATTTTATTTTATTTCCATAATTCTAAATACAAATATAGAATTGACGCTATAAATCAGCGGTGTGCAGCTCAATTCAAATCTCAGACTCGTCAACAAAGTTACAACGATGCATCATTGAGATGCATAGTTTTTAAGTAGACAAAAAAAAAAGAAGTTAGGAAAAAAATTAATCGAATCGCAATTAAATTTATAAAAAAAAAAATTATAGCATTTTCACCATTTGAAAAACAATTAATAACATCATTTTTTAAACACTAAAAAACCATGAAATTTTTAAAAAAATTTGTGACCTAAAAACCTGTTAATAAAACTCTACCAAAATGTATGTATTTTTATTACGAAATTTGTTTATACTAGTAAATTTGTTTAATTCGTTACATGCGTCTTGGCCAGAATATGAGCATAACAATCAATTTATATCAAGTTTAATTAAAAAAATTTTTTTTTGAGATTTAAAAAAAAATTTTAGTTTCAAAATATGAACTTAATAAAGACTTTTAAGAAACTTTTAGGTTTTTAAACTTTTTAGAAATAGCTATAACATTGTATTTAAGCGAATTTCGGTTCTTCGTCATATACTAAAATACTAAATTGAAAATATACAAATACTAAAGAGAAAATATATTTTGGGAAATACATTTCTGAAAGCAAAAATTAAAAAAAAAACGTTTCTTTTATTTTTATTTTTCGAATTTATTTACAGAAATTTTTAAATTCCCTCTCATTTATAGAAAAAAAATAGAAAAATTTGAAAATACTTTGTAATCTAATTATGCTTTTTCTTTCGTCCAAATCTTTAAAATACTAAAGGGAAAATATATTTTAAGAAATACTTTTGTAAAAATAAAAATAAAAAAAACTTTTTTTTCAAATTTATTTTATTGAAAATGCTCAGTAATCTAATTATTCGTTTTCTTTTGTCGTAATCTTTAAATACTAAAGAGAAAATATATTTCGGGAAATACATTTTGAAATGTAAAAATTAGAAGAGAAAATTTTTATTTTCATTTTTTTAATATTTTTCAGAAATTTTTAAAATCTCTCTCAGTTATAGAAATAAGAAAAATTTGAAAATATTTCGTAATCAAATTATTCGTTTAATTTCGTTGAAATCTTTAAAAATACTAAAGAGAAAATGTTTCTCGGAAAATACATTTCAAAATGTAAAAATAAATTTTTTTGAATTTTTTTTTCTATTATCTTTACGAAATTTTTGAATTCTCTCTCAGTTAGAGAAATAAATCAGAAAAATTTGAAAATGATTTTGTAATCTAATTATTCGTTTTCACCATTCGGTATAAAATTATGATTTTCCAACCTGAAACACTGGCATGTAACTTATATCTATTTGTTTTTCTAGAATTTGCATCATGTGGTTTTGTTCCCAGAGTGATTTAGTAGCTAATCAGTTTCTTTTATTTTCAAATTCTAATAAGAAATCAATGAATTTTATTAAACGTGGGGCTTTTCTTTGATAAGTAAGAGAGAGAGAAAAACATGTTGCTCCTTCTGCTGCTTGTGGGAACGGCCACTGCAGTGCCTCTACTCAGTCATGGTAATTTTAAATTATTTTATATTTTATATATATATATATATATAAAGTAACATTTTCCGATATATACACTTACATACAGTGGTCAGAAGTAATGAAACAACTGTAGTCGGTCCTTTTTTGCGCAGTTTGTAGTGCAATGTGCTACTATTAAAAAAAGTAATGTGTTAAAAGTAATTCCAAATGTCCCTTCCAATGAGGTGACCCCGGGATCGAATCCCAGCGATGGCTTATCGATACCGAATTCCGCATCCGGCTTGCACCGATCACTGTGCTGACGTGAAATATCCTCAGTGGTAGACGGATTATGGGTTGTGTAAATTATGCAGGCGTAAATTAATTTCTTCAGCAGTGTAAATTATACGGATGTAAATCAATTTTCTGAGCACTATAAATTATATAGGTGTGAATTAATTTCTTCAGCAGTGTAAATTTATTTCCTCTGCAGTGTAAATTATGCNCAAACTTAGCAACTTTTTTCACCATAGAAACAACCCATGATGAAAAGCTGGATTCAGATCGCAAAAAACAAAGTATTGCAATTTGATCATATGTAACTAAATGTAGAGGATTCACTTTAGAACATATCAAATTTTCATGCAATTTGACTGATTTTTCGCAGTTCTATGAATATTTGAATTTAGACCATTTTTTCGTAGATTTCAGAATTTTCGCAAACTTTTGACCGGTAGTGTATATATAAAGTAAAATTTTCCGATATATACACTTAAGTACAGTGGTCAGAAGTAATGAAACAACTGTAGTCGGTACTTTTTTTCGCAGTTTGTAGTGTAGTGTGCTATTATTAAAAAAAGTAATGCGTTAAAAGTAATTCCAAATGTCCCTTCCAATGAGGTGACCCCGGAATCGAATCCCAGCGATGGCTGGTCGATACGGAATTCCGCATCCGGCTTGCATCGATCACAGTGCTGACGTGAAATATCCTCAGTGGTAGACGGATTATGGGTTGTGTAAATTATGCAGGCGTAAATTAATTTCTTCAGCAGTGTAAATTATACGGATGTAAATCAATTTTCTGAGCACTATAAATTATATAGGTGCGAATTAATTTCTTCAGCAGTGTAAATTTATTTCCTCTGCAGTGTAAATTATGCAGGTGTGAATTAATTTCTTCAGCAGTGTAAATTATACGGATGTAAATCAATTTTCCGAGCACTATAAATTATATAGGTGTGAATTAATTTCTTCAGCAGTGTAAATTTATTTCCTCTGCAGTGTAAATTATGCAGGTGAAAATTAATTTCTCCAACAGTGTAAATTATACAGGTGTGAATTAATTTCCAGCAGTGAAAATTATACGGATGTAAATTAATTTTCTCAGCAGTATAAATTATATAGGTGCAAATTAATTTCTCCAGCAGTATAAAGTATACAGGTGAAAATTTGTTTCCTCTGCTGTGTAAATTAATTTCCCCAACAGTGTAAATTATGCAGGTGGGAATTAATTTCTAAAGCAAAGTTCGGTTCCTTAAAATAGCGTCATTACAATTCCGAAGTAGTTTGTAGTCACCACATTTAAAAAAAGTAGTGGTAGTTAACTACATTTGTAAAAATTGTTGTAAATATAGTAAACTATGAAAATAATGTAGTTTTTCGTTAAAATATTATTTTTGCTTTAAAAACCATTTCAAAATAATGTCGTTTATATAGCAATATTAGCTGCAGTTAGAAAACTCTCTCATGAATTTATATATTTTTCTAATTTTGCTCAATAAATCAGATAAATTTAGACAAAATGTTTAAGGAATTTCTGTTGTTGTTGTCCTACGTCTATTTCAAGAGCTATTTTTTAATAGTGTGTGGAGAGTATTTTAAATAAATTCAATTAATTTAAGAATAACTTAAAAATTTGTTTCGTGCAATTAAAATTATTTCTTCATTTAATCAATGGAGAAAGATTACATATTTTATTTCTTAAATATTTACTCAGATGAAGTGGCTCTAAAATTTAGGGAAAAATAATTTTCAAATATAATGCTGGCATAATAATGATCCAAGTAATTATTTGAAACATGCTTTGGACTTTTCAATGCATAAATCAAGTAAAAATGGAGGCAAGGTTGGAGAAAATGTAAGACAGTTTTATATTATATTTAAATTTTTATCTTAAAAAAATGTAGGGGAGAGGGGGGCACATGTGAACAAATTTTTTTATTTCTTCACTTTTCGAAAAATATCATCAATTTTTCATAGTAAAAAAGTCCATATGTTTAAATAGTATTTTCTTTGTCTTGTGGAATTTTTTGAGATTTTTCAATAAAATATTTCTTTACTTTATAATATTTTAGAAAAATGACTTCAATTGTTCACATGTGCCCCTATTGGGGGCACATGTGAACAGGCCTGGGGCACATATGAACAAGATTAAAAACACAAAGCAATCATCATATTTCAAAGAAAAAAAATCTTTAATATAACAGATATAGATACGCATTATACTGAGGGGGTTGTAGCTTACTATGTGAATTTAAATTGTACAACAGTACTGTCAATAAGAAAATAATTTTTCAGCTGTACAATAATTTATCCGTAATTGGGTTTTTCGCAACTTCATGTTCCACGGGTGTT